TGCCTTGGCAAAGGTGGGCAAGGCTAAGATGGGCAAAGGCCTCTGGTACCTTAGCAGCCTGTTCAACTTTACACCACACATTTGTACCAGGCAACAGTACAGCTGTTGTGCTCTACATAGTAGTGCCTGCCTTTCCCTCTTGGAGGTGGGACCCTCATTTTAGGCTGTAAACTGAAACCCTCTGAGAAGAAAAATCTCAATTGTACATTTCTACAAAACCAGAGAGTTCAAAGTCTGCCTCTGAACCTGGTGTTGCAGCAAGCTTGGCTTTCTAACTGCAGAGACAAAGCAAAGTCCAGGACTTTTGGTTACCCTTTGGCTTCTTCAAGGAGTTGTCCCAATGCATCCATCTTATGTGACATATTGCTCCCCACAGATGAGCTGAAGTACCCAGGAGCAGCTGGAATAGTCTTAGGAGGCCCTGCAGGGGCAGTCGGTCCAGCAGAGAATACAAATGGTGCTGAGTTTGGTGCTGGGATGCTGGGAGCAGTCTGAGAGGCTGTGAAAGCAGAGGGCAGCGTCACTGACGTTCCACACGTGGTCTGTGATGTCTGATGGAGAAGAGGGTTCCCTGCAGGGTTGCAAGTAACAGTCACCATCTTCGGATTAAAGAAATCCAGGTCCAACTGGTCATTCTGAAAGAGAGGACAAGTAGATGTTCTAACTCACTGCTACGCCCTGTTGTAGAGATGGCACTGTTACGGAGGGAGATAGATTTACCGCAAAAACAGGTGCTGGGTGGCAAGCAGCAAAGTCTGTGGCCTATGTCAGGACTACATCTGATCTGTAATTTAAGCAAAGGAGGTGCTAACATCATGGGGGACAGATGGGGAATTGAGAAAGCCAGGTTCAGGGATATCTACTCTGTTTAGACACAGCTATTCCAGATTTTAGGGCTACGTCAGACTTCCTCTCAGGAACAGCTGCCCCTCTGCCTGTATGTGTCATCACATGTTTCTCCAAGGTGACAGAGTGTGTCCTGAGACCTCTTACAATGAGAACCCCTCCCTCCCCTTACCCTGAGACCCTCCTCTGTACCTCAAATATGCTCCACTGGTGGTTTTCTGAGGTCTCCTTCACTGCTGCAGGGGCTGGGTCATTTAGACCTGAAAGGAAAAATAACAAACACGTGACTGGAGGAGAAAATGAATTAGGTGTCATCCCTTGACAATTGTTTCAGTACCATCAAACTACTTGATTCAGCTCTGCCAGAGCCCAAGAACCTGAAGAAAGACTGAAATGGGCTGCAAGTCCATGATCAGGAAGAGACTGACAGCACCAGTAGCTGACAGTCAGCCCCTGCACACAGCTCTTCTAACCCTTTTGGGTGTGCAGTGTCTTCTGCTGCTCATAGCTGCTGGGCTCCACAGGCAGGCATTCTGCAGGCTCCTACACACAACCCCTCTAAAGCACCTTGTTCTTCAGCACAGCCACAAAGTCAGGGGTGAAATCTGTACCAAACTGCAGCCTGCATGTCCAGCGTGTCCAATTACACTCAACAGTTATTTCACCTGCAGCCTACTCTGGGAAGATCAGAGTTTTTAATACTGACTCACTGACCAGGTCTTATATTCAGGATGATGCAAGGGAGCATCCCCTGGACTTCTCCAGAAACCAAAGGCATCTCATGCTCCATTTAGGCATGCCACGTGTGCGATCAGCCCCCACGCACACGCTGAAGGAAGAAAGCAGTCTTTGTTAGGCGTGGATTGAGTAGCCCTTTTCTGGGCTCCTCAGTGTCTTACCTAAGCACAGAAGCTCCTCATCCAGCAAGGAGAGGGAGTTGGTCGTGCTGCTCTGCTGCGCAGGTGTGGCTTCTACTTGGCTAGAGGAACTGCTCCGCAACTGTGCGAACGTCTGGGGAGGAGGCGGGAGAATGGGGATTTCTGCTGGGGCTGGGGCTACTGTGGGCGCTGGCGTCAGGGTGGTGGGTGGCATTGGAGGTGGCGGGGTGTTGGTGACTTCCAATCCAGCAAGATCAATGAGGGTGTTGAGATTACTTGTGGAGTTACTCCCTGCAGCGGACAGGAGAAGAGCACTACTAGGAAAGAAGGCAAAAGGCTCAGAGCAAACCCAATGTACAGAAGAAATTATCAGAGAGATGTTTTAGATAACACAGATCTTCATTTAATCATGGCTTATGGCTCTTTACAACAGAGAAAGCCCACCTGCTTTCCACCTAACCATTTGCTGTCCACAAACTACTTAAATCAACCCAGATACTTACGAAATTTCTATATGAAAAGCAACACCTGCTCTAACCGCTGCTCCTTCCCCAGTGCTTCTTGTAGCATAATTCATAGTATTTTGAAAATCTTTTGAGCTCAGATGAGGCTTTGGGAGACCCTATAGAATTACAATAAACAAAGGCTACCAGAGAGCTCGAAAGCTGAGGAAAATTCATATACTGTCTCGATCTTCATATTTAGGACAATCTTGTCTCAATAAGATACTGTCAAGCAGCATTATGCATTCCTCTACTGCTCTCCATGCAGAAATGTTTAAGTGACTCCCAAATGGTAATTCTGCCACACACATGTCCAGAGCTTTCAATGGTGAAGCTGAAGTGTAAACTGGGCAACTGGCCTAAAGGCACAAATGGAATTGCTGGCAAAGCCAGGAGCAGGACCCCTGGCCTGGCTCCCACTCTCCTGCTCTTGTCCTTTTGATAACATTGTTGTCTTCTTACAGGGTCACCATTAAGAAACAGGACAAGTGTGGAGAGGAAAATGTATGAGAACTTCCAGCCATACAAACTGTTCGGATGCAGGTTTGCTACTGACATTATCAAAGGTTTCAATAACATGGAATGAGCAATGGAAAATGCAAAGCTGCAGCACTGGTGCTCATGTCCAGAATTGTTTATCCGTTGCTCAGGAGCTGTCTTGTCCCCCTCTGATTCACAAACTGCTGGCCACAAGAACCATCAACAGCCTACTTTACCATAATTCATACGAAACCCTGTCCAAAAGAATTAGAATTGCAGGATTCAAAAATTAAACGGTTGGTTTCCCAGAAACTCACCTTCCACTACAGGCATCACACGGAGATCCACTTCACCATTGATCACGTGCCCCTCTATTATTTTTTTATAGGAATTTATCACATGGGATAAATTGTCACTGGCCTGTAGAATATCCCCTACATGCAAGAGAGACAAAAATGACCCTCAAGACTTTAGTTACTTTGCTCCCACTAATGCTGAGAGCACTCAGTTATCAACTAAATAATCAACAAGAAAAAACATAATTATTTGGCTATGAGCTCCATTACTCTCTGTCTTTGCCATGCTTCTCTAAGCAATACCCTGACTTTTCTAGGTGCATGCACAGTAACAATGAAAACATGAGTCCAAGGCTTTGCCCCCTACAGCAACCCCCCTCCCCTTCCAAAGCAGCAGCTGTCCCCCATTATTGCCCCCAGCTTCCCTAACCACCAACACCACTGTCAAGTCCTTGCCTGAATTTAAATGGTAAGCATAAAGAGGCAAGGATCTTGTCTTCATCTGCTTGCTCAAAGCAAAGTGCATCCACAGTGAAGAGGCATCCTTACAGCAGCCGTTCCCTTGCTGAACCCTTGCACAGTCACAGGTCACAAAAGCAATTAAAAAAGAAGTGTAGCTTAGTTTACCCAAACTGCTGTCGTTATCCTCTGTCTCACTGGCCAGCTTGAATAACGTCCGCCTTTTGGTTTCACACCTTTCATAGAGCTCCTAGGAAGACAGATTAGGACAAAGGGTTTCATCAGCCAGGAGCCACTATCAGCAATACCAGTCAGCACAGAATGACTCCCCAGGCAGGCTCTGGAAAGCCCAGAATAGAGACACCAGTCTTCCCGTGCTGAATGTGCCAGCGTGGCTGGACAACCAAGATCCCCTGTCCCTGCCCTATTAACAGAGCTGTGAGGCATTACATTAGCCTGGGAGTCTAAACACAACCTCCATTTTCAATACAACATCTCTCAGTCCTTCCTCACATCAGCACTTATAGCCACCCCTGTCCAAAAGAGATGTTCGTTCCTTGTAGTACAGTAGTCCCTAAAAGCCCAAGGAAGAGTAGAATTGTGCTTCAAGAATTATGCTTCAATTGTGCTGCAACCGCTACTCAGAGAGTCTGCAACCACATAGAAGAAAGGTGGCAAGAAGAAAATGTTTCACAGAAACAAACCAGTTTATTAACCTGCTTACCATTGTTTCAGGAGCTTGTTGTTAAAAATGAGAAGTTTTAGCTTTTTTAATTAGATAAGGTGCAACTCTTCAAGGCCCTGGGCCTCTTCAACCAACCCTGGTGGCTGTTTTGATTTTTACCTTCTTGGTGTTCTCTCAACCTTCTAACACTAGCTAAAACTCTTCCTTCGAAGGGGAGGACATTTTTTCTGCCCCATTCAGCCTTTAGTTTATCCAGGCACAGTGCTGTAAGGGACAGTTACAATCTCCAATCAGTGTGTCCCAACAGCAGCAAGAATTACAAACTGCAGTTTGTTGATTCTGCCATGCTGCATCTTTGGAGAACAGCTGTACCTCACTTCAAGCATGTGTAAAACCAAGCTATTACCCACTGAGTCCTTTGGTGAAAGGCGTTAAAAGCATGGTTATTTTCTTTCCTGCTGTTTACAACAACTGCTCTTGTTTCTCGCCATTGCTCTCCATTTTATTGCACTGTTTGTAATTCTCTGCAAAACTCAAGTCTGTAAGAAGAAAGGACTGACTCCAGGATTTCTGGAAAGAAGGAGCAGCTCAGACCCACCTTCATGAGCTCCCTATCAGCCTCTGATGAGTCCTCTTTGCTGTAATGAACCAACATCTCATTCAGCAGCTTCACATTGTTATTTACTTCCTCCAGCGTGTGCATGCGCTTTGTCACTTTCTGAATCCGAGCCTCATCCTTCAGGGTGTAAAACACAGACATAAAAAGTGAATTTCCCTGTAAAGGTCCACAATATCACAACAACAGGTATTATCTGTAAATCATGTCAAGTAATGTCTACTGAAGGTTAAGCTAGGAAAAAAAACACAATAAAAAGCCTCTTCATTCATGTGAAACTTTGCTTATTTTATTATATTTTCACTACCATTCTGAAATGATAGAAACCCCCATATTTCTAAAAAGTCTCATTAAATAGACTTTAATGTATAATTATATCACTAGAAATAGAAAAGTTCCCAAAAGTTCCTTTCTGACCTTTTCAGAAGATTTTTTTTGGGGGGATGGGGGGGTGGGGGGTGTCACTTGATGCCATTTTACAAAAAAGATGTGTTTGAAGCAAAACATTTACTAGGAACAACAAGCACTATCTGGTAGAAAATGTCCACCCATCTCTGATATGAGATTCCAATTAAAGATGTAGGAGGGTCTGCCCTGGGGACAAGAGAAGCTTGAACAGAAACATTTCAGTAACCTATACATCCTCCTCAGTCCAAAAGCTATCCTTTTTTATTTTTTCTTGCCAGAATCACAGTGAGTCATTTCCTGGACTCCAGAGTTTCTAATGACTGCCATGGGTGGATGCATCACAGCTCTACAAACAGGAAGGTGTTTCCATGAAGCCTGCCTGTGAGAAGACCCAGTCCAATGACTCAGTCCTCAGTATCCAGGGGTGGTATGTGATGCTCCCACCAAACCCTGACATGAAATACCATCTAGAGTCATGAGAACACAGTTAATTACAAGGGGCATTCAATCCTTGCCCTTTCTTGCCCTGTCCTCCACCAGAAACACCAACTGTAGACATTTTTGTGATACAAACATCTCCCAGTTGTGAGCTAGAGTCAAAAATTACAAGACATTCCTATCACACAGAGCCCCAAGTTATCAGATGGCAACCCCTTTATGCCATTAACCATGGGGACTAGATGCAAGTTAGCACTGTCAGAGCTTTTAAAAAATAATAAAAGGCTGGATCTCACTGATGGTCAGTCTCATTCAGTCCCCACAACTTAACTAAGGAATGTACTAACAATGTTCCCAGAGCCTGGAAAACCCAGGTTCTGCCATTCACGTGATTCTAAAACCGTCCACAATTTTGAAGTCAAATTGCTTAAAACCTGGAAAGCAGACTGATGACTGGGACCAATCCTACAGGAAGTTCTTACCTCTTTTACCATGGATTTTATAAGCTTGTTGGCCTCTTGTAGATCATCTGGGTTTTTGCTTTTCAGCAGTTTGGCTAGAAGCTGTAAGATGAGAAGAGGATATTCAGGAAACAAATAAAGTCCCTTTGGCAAAGGGAAGCAGCAAAAGGAATCTAAGTGAGCAATTCGGGGGAAGAGAGATACAGCCCACTATTACAAAGCTTACACTGCTTTCACAGTTACAGTCACTTCAGCAGAAGTCATTTATGGTTTATTATTCTATGTGAGTTGTTGCATTCTTGCTTCTACACAGGACATATACTGTGAAATCTCAGAGACTTCTGACACTAGATAATTATTCCTCCCATACATCATTTTTGGTCCTCTGTGTGAAATGTTCTCTGCCTTCCAGCATTACAGGAGGATGGCACTTTAACTAGGAATAACCTCATAATGGTTACACAGTCAAGGCCTTAACTGGAACTTCATGATAAGGAGGTGGACAAATCAATGAGTTCTGTGAAAGTACGCACCACCACCACAAAAATAAAAGCCAAATTAGTGTACTTTACTTCCTTATTCTAAATGTGCATTGAGTAATCATTTTGCGTAGTGATTACGATATAAGTCTTCACTGCACCTTGGATTTCTCCTCATCATCAAACACAGGGTTTTTGGGACGAGGCGGTGGAGAAGGAATCAGGGTTCTGTCCGCAGGAATCACAGGATCAAACATAACGATCCCTGAAAGCAGAAAGGGAAGACATGTGGGTTTGCAGATGCAGTAACACCAGGCAGTGCACCCAGTGATTCACAGGCTGCTATCAAAGTGAACACGCAGTCAATCTGCCCACTGATACTAGCACACTGTTCCCACGGACAATACAGGATCAAAATCACTGTGCATGCTAGCTGGAAAAACAAAGAAAGTTTTCTTTAATAAAGGCCAAAACCCCAGCAAATGTGTTGCCATGTCCATATTGCTCCCGTAATAGCTCAGTATAATCAATAGCTCTCCGCTATTTGTCTTTCCCCCTTTCACTTTCACTGTTGAACCACTAAGTGAAGTCCTGGACAGCCCAGCTTTGTGCAAACTCAAGGGCATGACATTTGTTTGTATATATGAGCTGAGCAGGAAAGCAGATAGCAACACAGAATGGGCTGATGAGCAGACTCCTAACCACGAGGGGGGAAAGAGCTACACTCCCTGCTTGTTCCATTGTCAAATCCTTGTATTTGTGCTCTACCTCAAGAGCTTTCCTGGAAACAATTTTTCTCGTGTTGAAGCCGCAGGCTTCTCAGCTAAGCTTTTTTCACTGTGCCTACACAAGAAATTTGATTCAGTTGAACTAAAGGTACAATTCTAAAGCGACCTAGTTAAAAGAACACAAAAGGCTACATGGAGGCTCTTATTTCACTTTAAATTAGACTTGTTCAAATCATTTAATAACTAGTTCCAGAAAACCTCAAAAAAGACCCTGCAAACCAAAACAAAAGTATTTGCAAGCTGTTTAACTAATCTAGTTAAAAAAGCCAACCAAACCCCGCCCAAGGCATTTAAATATAACAAGAAGCTTTTCAGGGAATTTCTCCCTTGTTCTGTCTCCCCTCAGGGCTTTCCTTGATCCCACGTAATTAGAAGCTGTATATTTTCTGACACTCCTGCTTAAAGCACAGGCTGGAGAGAATGCATGAACGAGCAGCTGAATTCCTACCTTGTCGCTTCAGCATGTAGTAGGCATCCTTGATTTTGGATTCTTCTGGTAATGCCACTGTCCAGCTATACAGCAATTCAATGACTTTGGTCTTCACCTTCTCTGACACTCGGTCTCCCAGGTACTAAGAGTGGAAAAAAGATGTAAATTTTCCACATTCTTCATTCCTTTATAAAAATAAAGCCCAAACCCAGAGAATAGTTCAGTGATATACATTAAAAGGTATATAATCCAAGCTCTAAGATGATCTAAGATACATCTTATCAAGAGGAAAAAATGCTCCTCTGATATATTTGAAAGAACAGCGAAGAGAACCTTTGTGATTATCTTCAGCAAAAGAAAAGGCAGCTATTGTGTTGGTTTCAGGATTTCGCTATCTAAAAATTACAGCAACACAGACAACCACCCCCTCCTCTGTCCTATGGGAAAAGATCTGGGAATACTTTGCTGCATCAATCACACCATGGGGGGCCTCTGTCTATTTTTTGCCACGTTAAACTGATCGTGAATGTTGAGGGACTTAGCCAGGCACTGCTTACACAGCAAGCCGGCAGCAGAGTGAGGACCAGAACTCTATGATGTGTTGCCAAGTCTCTTGTTTTAACCTCTGCATCACACCTCTCTTCCACTGACACTGGAGTTTCATTTGGTTTCTAAGCTTTAGAAGTCCTTGAGTTACATGAAGGATTAGAACAGCACAGAGGATATATACTGATGGTAAGTAAGTGCAACTTACTAAGAAAAGCAGAGCATAAAAAAAAAACCGAAACCAAATACCCTTAGCTAACAAATGAATACAAGCTAAGAAATGCAATTAGCCAGACAGAGCACCACAAACATTTTGGATGTTGCCTGTAGCTTACAGAGGCTAAACAAAAAGTAAATACAGCCATAAGGCTCAGGGACTAACCTTTGGAGACACAACTTTGATTAACTCGTTTAAAAAGCGAAACTTCCCTACTTCGTTATGAAATCTTCTCCCACAATTCTTCATACAAGCTTCTAGCACCTGCATTCAAGTAACAAAAACAGGGGTTGAAATGAACACCAAAACCCTACAATAACAGCATAGCTGTGCTCTGCTTATAGGAGAACTGAAGGACCCATGTCAGTGAGATACGTATTCCTGCCCTGCAATACAGGCACAAGTCTTCAGTCTTTAGGGGTGACACACCAAGACAAGCTGGTCTCCCACCCTCAGCCATGTATATATGGGTCTAAGTTATCTCACCATTAGGTCTCATAACGACAAACACAAATCTTGCCTGAAGATAATAAATAAAAGCAGCTAAAAGTAAACCAGAGTTATTTCTGAGTGCTCTATTGCTGATGAGCAATTTGGACACTTCAGTTATGTAGCTGTGCTCCCTCTCACCGTCCACTCCCTCCCAGCAGAGGGGAATCAGGGCATTCAGCCCCAGTACTAGTCACAGCTAACACATACTGTGCCCTCCTTATACTCCGCACAGGTGACATAAAATGATATATAACTGGATTTAAGAGGAGGGGTAAGGACTACCTACTGTCAAGGCTTGGACTGCCTCCCATTCCTGTGGCGACTGGATTTTATGAGCCAGGAGTCTCACAGCTATCTGTGGCCTAAAACAAAGCAGATCCCTATTACAAACAAACACAGTGAAGGATTTTCAGATTTTCACAAATTCTGCTGTTTAAACGAGACTTCTTTCACATAATTAAAAGGAAATGCCATTTAGTAGTTTTTATCTTTCCATCAGTCTACAAAGGCTAACAAGAAATGTTCAGGGCATCTTTGTAAGCCTGGGTGTTTGCACATATGAAAGGAAGCAAGGGCTGGTAGTCTGAGCCAGCAATTCCAGATTCTTCCTTGGGAGGGGCCAAACAACTCCCAGTACAGTCCCCAGCCCAGGAAATCACTTCATTTCTCTTGCATTAGTTTCCTTTTTCCAGATGAAAACACTTCTTCCTTAGGTCACAGGAATGCTGTGACCCAGGAGGTTTCCTCAGGTAAGCCTCGTAAAGATTTTAAAAGCGTGAAGCCCCATCAGGCACTAAGAGTTGTAACCCCATTTTACAGACTGGCAAACAGAATCTCTTTGGCTAGATGAGAACCCTGCAGCTGCAGAAGCTGACCTTAGAGGCAGATTCAGAATTCCCATTTTCCTAGTGCTCAGTCTGTGTATAAGTCATGCTGCCTTTCACAGAAGAGAAATCACACTTCACAGCTTTTTGTTTCTTTCCTAGCCAGATCTTCCTTGCAGTATATATATAAGAAAACATGAAAGTTTGATGACCAAATTATATATTTCAAACTGTGAATGTTAATTTACTAAGTCTAGAGCAGTTTGGGACACCTACCCTTCAAGTTCTTTGTTGATCTGGTCACAGAATCCAATGATGTATTCCCAGTCTTCTTGCCTGTTAGATGGGTTAGTGGCTTTATCTTTGGCAAGGGAAAAAGAACATATTACCAATCAAGCAAAAGAAACAGTATAAAAGGTCATGCATTTCCTAGAGAAAAGCATTTGACATCCATTGCCAACTATAAAAAAGGAGAGAGAAGTTCACACATGGTATGTCTGTTCAGGGAAAAGGGTGGGTCCAAGATGAGACATCCAAATATCCAGCAAGAATCACTGCTTCCCAAAAAAGCAGGTGCCAAATCTCAAGTACTTCGAAACACGCTACTCCCATACTCTAAATGAGAGTACAGGATAAAATATTTGAGCTCACACAGTTCCTCTCTGACTGAAATGCTCTCTCTTTCTATTTGGCTGTAAAATTAAACTCCTTAAAGGCTAACCCCTCACACTTTCTACATAGGAAATTATTTTTGTATTCCCTGGGAGTTTTGGAGAAGTAAGAGCTGGAACATCAGATGTTTAATATAAGCCATTTAGCATTAACACTTGTTTTTAGAGTGTCAGTTGATTTGTTAGATGCCTTAGCATTTCTCCTGGGAATAAGGAACTGAAATTTATTATTATACATTGAGTTGTTCTTGCAAGTAATAAACACCACAGCCTGTACCTGATCAGGAATTCAAATCCTATATGCTCAAACTGAGAGATCGATGCTGTACTGACTGGGCTATTTCAGGCTCCTGAAGGATCCTCCCTCGAGTATCAGGACCTTGCTTATTGTACCGATTGCAGAATAGTGAGGCTATCAGCATCTTTTTTTGTTATGAATGCATCTTCTCCCTGTATTCTATTTAACTCTGATGAAGCACTGAATTTACAGTAGACAAGATTCCCGCTTTAACCTAATTTTCCAGTCAAGATGACCAGATATGATGATTTTTCTTTCTTGTAAGGGAAGAAACAACGCACTGTAGCTATATATCTAAGGCCTGGCATTTAAGAAGCCTCCTTCAAAATTTTAATACAATGGAAAGAGATCCAGAAAAGAAAATATTGCTTAGACAGATAGTACACAGCAGAGGATGAAAGACAGGAAAAAACCCAGCACACATCCCTGTACGTTCATCATAGAGTGAAGCATAACAAAAAAACACATGCTACATTACAAAGTGTCATTTTTTATCATCATTAAAACATATCCTTTTACCTTTCCACAGGCAGATAAAACCAGCTGTCAGACATCTACTCTGAAACCTCACTTTCACAGTGCACCTTAGTCCTCCCACTGTGGCAGTTCTACAAGGTTTGCTTCTATTTTCCTCTTCACGGAAGGACAGTTGTAGAGTAATTTTGTAAATTGTTCCATGGATTGCATCTGTAAAATACTCTGCAGAGGTGAATCTCTGTGCCCGCTGCTGACTTTCATGGGACTCTAGATAAGCAAAAGGCAGCACTCAGGGAGGACCACATCTTCTTGTACTAGCCAAGCTACCGAGCTATTTTTTGAACTCAAGAGATTCAAGGGAAGTTTAGTCTAAAATGCAGCTGCTGCAGAGCCAAGCAACTGTTAAAAACATACGTAGCACTTAAACCTTATTACCACACTCACAACTGCTGAACGCCCTGGAAGCATCATGAAACCATGAATTTACAACAATCTAAAGTCTTTTCATGCAAGTCAAATGGCATTTTGCATGGTTCGGTGCTCCAAAGCACCTCCGCTGCTCTGCAGGCCTAGATGAAAAAAATACAGTTCTTGGCTGGAGTTAATGGAATTTATTTAACAAATACAGGAAGAGCACAAACAAATAAGGACACTCAAGCAAATGAACTCTTTGTTGGTTGCACATCCTGAAATTAGGAAAAAGATGTGGTACAAACAGGAAAATGTAACCAACATTTACAGTTAACACTTGGAACATGGAAAACTGTTCCAAACATCTCCAAAGATTTCTCGGAACGACACTGGATTATTTCACACTCCAGACTGGGTTCAGACTCATCTAAGTTTTTGCATTAAAAGCTCCCACATAAAGACAGTAACATCTCAGAAGGAGAGACAGATTACTGAAGGGAAGTTATGCTCCACATGAAGAAACTCCCTCTTTCTAACATTCATAAAATCTTCACGTGAAATCCTAGTTCATAAAAGTTAATAAGCTCAATGAAAAGTCCTGCCCTGGCTCTGGAGACTGATGTGTTTGCGTGTCACAACACAACAGCGTGTATGGATACTTATTACCAATCTCAGAATAGCCACATGAACACAGCATCCCAGATGAGCTAAATTACCTTGCTTAACCTTTTCAGGACATCCCTACATGAAGCTGCATCACATCTATGAAGGCATAACTTAAAATCCTCTATTTTTATGCAGAACACTTAAGATGCGGTTAGGGAGCTCCTCTGCACTACCTTATAAATATGCTTCAACCTGTATATGAAAGGATTCACTCCAGGAAGGAGAGTTTGGTGCTCTGGAATATCAAATCCACGGCTTCTCTGTTGAAACTGCCAACAAAGGCCCATTTCGTACTAGTGACAAAGTTTGCTTTCAGAGACACTTGTCCACCAGGTCCCATCCTGAAAATCTCATTTCACGTTGGCAATCAAGTGAATCTGGATTAGCAACCTGGAACCAAAAGTCTCAGTCGTACCCCAGTCCTGCCACCATGTCTGCCTTAGCTTTCAGACACCGCTGCGCTTAGGACACGTAAAGTTGCTGTATACCTGACCTAAGTGTCAGAGCCATTCAGCCCTCAGATGCTCTGCTAGACCCTGAAACGCTAACAAGTCAACATTCAGATGCACCATTAGATATGAAACAAAGGTGCTTATTTTCTCTATAAAGAAATGACGTTAGAACGCAGAGAACCACAGACCGTTAATTGACTGGTAATGAACGCTCATATTTTCTTGGGTTTTCTTCTCTACTGAAATGAGACAAAAGCCATCCCAACAAAGGGTTTCCCCAGGTCAGGCTTAGCATATGAACTCGGAATTCCCAGCCCAAGCATGTTGAGTCTAACAGTCGGATTCTGTCTGTATCCCGGGGAGGAGAAGAGAATTCTGACCTATGACAATACAAAGAAAAAAGAAATGAAGATAATCATAATGTTTTAGCTATCTGCATCTATTACATAGCCGAATATTGCCTAAGCCTGACATGAGTGTGATACAATAAGCTTCCTTTTGGATGCAGTAGAAAAGGCAACGCTAAAATCAAAGCATCCAGCTGTGTTTGTACAACTGATGTTATTTTCTAACCTCCTCTTCTATTTCAGCTAAATGCAGAAGAAGAGCCTGCCAACAAGGAGAGAATAGGAAGGATCACCTTCTCTCATCCCAGCTGCCTGAAATGAGGCAGGAGGCATGAAGATGCTAGATCATCACTGGCTGAAGTGCAGATCTTGCTGCAGCATTAGGACACGAGGATGATGTTACTTCATGGGTCTATGACTCCACCTGATGACAGAGACAGGGCAGCGTGCAAGGCTGCATACCACCAGTACAGAAAAACGATCACTGGCAATAAGAAATTTTCCATCTTCCTGTGCCTGGGAAGTTGGCTGTGCTGCTGAGCAATTCTGGCTCTTCTCTTCAGTAAGGGCACAGCAGGTGCCCAGCCTCAAGGTTAGCATTAGAGACGGCACAGCTCTGTGATGGTTACAAGAAAAAAAACCAAAACTCAGGATGCCTGGTGAAAGCACTCAGATGCATCAGCCTTTGCACTCTGCCTTCCTGGTCTGCACGACTCATCCAGTAATTTACGTACACTAAATGCTCCCTGCTCCCCTACAATGGGAGGAGCGATACAATCACACCAGCACAAATCACTGTGGCAGTGACCTGGCATAAATGCATCCTCTTAAATGAGAGCAACACTCAAGCCCTGAAAAATGTGTACACCTCTGCAATCAAGCTCCCTGCAATCTCTCTCGCAGTGAGTAAGGCCCTTGCAACGCTACCCTTCAGCATTATGTTCTCTGGTGCAGAATATCCTACTGCTTGGCCAAGGAGAGATAACTTCTCTTTTAACTCCCACAATTAAAAAATAACCCCACAAAACAAACAGTCAGGAAGCTTTCCAGGCTATACAACCTAAAATATCCTTCCTACTAGAGATATTTTCACACACAAACTGGACTTGGTGAGTCAGTTCTCCTCAGAGACAGATTAGAGGGAAAGGATGTGGGTGTTTCTTCATGCGTCTCACTGGCTACCATAAAAGATATAGACAAAGTGTGGGAGTTCAGAGGAGGAGCGAAAATGGTAAGGGGACAGAAGGGATTATCTAAAATGAGAAGGGCTGAAAACATTATTTAGCCAGTAACTCCTGTAAAAGATGATCATACCACGTATGTGTTTGAATTTTATATAAAAATACTAAGAAAGCACGAGAATTACTTAATCTTGCTTATAGAAGGATAACTCCAAAAGGGTAACAGGTTTTATACTCTAAGGTATGTAGGGTAATGACCATCTGCTGCTATTTTCCTAGTGCCCAGCTATTTAGGAACTTCTCTCACTGCTGTAATCAAACAAATAACTATTAAAAAAAGAAGAAAATCTAGGCACTAAGCTAGTAATGTGCAGGATAGCCGCCCAGGGATAGCAGCAGGAGCCACTATGTGCAGAATATATGAAAAACAATTACTGTTACGACTGATTCATTCAAGAATCACCTCCTGATCCGCCGGCGCTGGGTCGGGATCCTGCAGCGCTACGTTCTGTACAGCCAACAGCCCAAAAGCCAGCCGGCTCACGGGCAGCACGGATAGACACACAATGAGGAGATACTCAGCAAGGGCTGTGGATGAACAAGCCATGGGTTTTTTCTTTCCCCTCCCTCTAATAATTAAGATCCTGTGATAAAAAATACCTTATCTTGATAAAGGATTTAAAAATATTCCAGTCTGTATGGAATGGACATCCATAACTCCTACCCTGAAACTGCAGCTAGGCATAAAGCAGAATTTGTCTGCTTGAAAATCATGGTTGTATAACACATGAATACAATTTATTTGGGAAATCCCTACAGTTCTCAACCTCACAAACAGTACTTAAGGCTGTACACTTAGCTAACCAAACCCAAGGCGAGGAAAGAAGAGACAGCAGGGACAGACACGTACCATGAGCCTTTACGGTCAAAATAAAAAAAAGAAAAGCAACAGTCTTACAGGTGCTGAGCAAGGTGAGCTACAAACCTGCACATTCCTCACACCTCCCAACAAGCAAACTGATTAACGGACCCAAACCGCTGCTGTGCCCCTACGACGACAGTTCTGCATCTCTCCTTCATCGATGCCGTCGCGCCGAGGGCGCCGGACCGCAGAGCGGGCGAGCCGGGGGCACCGACCACCGGGAACGGCG